GTGTGGTGGGAGCAGAGGAGATGCGTGTGGTGGGAGCAGAGGACATGCGTGTGGTGGGAGCAGAGGAGATGGGTGTGGTGGGAACAGAGGAGATGTGTGTGGTGGGAGCAGAGGAGACGCGTGTGGTGGGGACTATCAGGATAGCGGGGTCAGGAGCAGGTGGCTCTGTGGCCAGAGGCCTGGTGTGTGGGCAGGTTGTGCATGTGGCCCTGACCTATGTGCTGCTTCATCATTCTCCAGGCTCTCAGGCACAATCCAAGGCTCAGGCCCTTCACAAAGAGTCAGGGCAGACGCTGACGGTGAGATGCCAGTACCCTTCCAACAGCAGGTTCTACGAGACGAAAGGCTGGTGTAAGGAGGCGTCAGCATTCAAGTGCATCAGGTTAGTCACCAGCTCCAAGCCCAGGACGCTGGCTTCGATCTCTCGATTCTCAATCTGGGATGACCCTGATGCTGGCTTCTTCACTGTCATCATGACTGATCTGAGAGAGGAAGACTCAGGACACTACTGGTGTAGAATCTACCGTCCTTCTGACAACTCTGTCTCTAAGTCTGTCAGATTCCATCTGGTGGTGTCTCCAGGTGAGCCCCTTCCCTAGGGTCCTCAGGGGGATGCCCCTCACCTCCTTTTGGTGCCTCCGTCACTCCCAGTTTCCAAATCATGGAAGCCACCCACACCCACACCCAGTCTCCTGGGAAGGCTGTTGGGAACAGGTGCAGGGGAACTCATTTGTGCACATGAGCAGCCATCTCACAGTCTCCACAACTCCCAAGCTTGCAGCCTGGGCCTCCTGAGAGGTGCTGAAACAGACCCAGTGAGCACGCTGAGCAGTCAGCCCATATGACCCTGCTACCAGAGGGCAGGACTGCCCGGCATCTTTGGTACATAGCAGGTGCCCAGGAAAGATGCATCCACTGGCTGCCCCCACCATGGATAGCCAGTGGCCCCTTAATATCTGGGTAGGGCTCTGTCCATCCCTCCTAGTCCAGATCAGGGTCAGCAAACTATGACCCAATAACTATGAATGACTGAAAAAAAATCAAAAGAAAAACAATATTTTGAGACATGTAGGAAATTCAAATTTCAGTGCCTAGAAGTAGAGTGATTTTTTGGAACACAGCCATGCCCCCTCATTTACCTATTGTCTGTGGCCCTTTTCATACTGTGACCGCAACATAGAGCAGTTGTGACAGAGACCACATGGCCCATCCCTGACCCTTTACAGAAAGTGTGCCAACCTCCAGACCAGAGCAGAGCTACTCAAAGTGCCTGTAGAAGAGGACCTTTTTTAAAACACAAATCTGCAATTCACCAATGACTAATTTTTTTTGTAAAATATGGTAAAAATAAATTACTAGAAAAGAAAAATGAGAAAAAGACATACAAAGTACAAGCCCAAAGTTTATTAAATTTGACAAACATAAAATTTCATTTTAGTAAACATAATCAGAACAAATATCACATAGGGAAAAAAATTATAAAAACTATATACATTGTGCATTTGAAAGTGTGCCTAAATGTGGTTGATGGAGTGGCTTAAAGGTATACCCATAATGCTTTGTGATTCCTCAGTTAAAACTAAACACACATTTCCTTAGAAAGGAAATCACAATTGTCCATATTAAATGCCAATATGCACCCTTCAGGGAAACACCGTCTGTCCATATTTAATAAGGCTTATAATGTGACAAGTGAGCACGCTTCTTACTTGTTAGCTTTCCTAATCTGAGAACTCTTTATGACACCACATCGCTTAGGAGCTAATGTAAAAAGAAATTGTGTTGATTTTTTAAAAAATAATACTTATAATAGAATACCAGAAAACTGGTCTCACAGAGGTATATTGTCAGAAATAGAAGAAATTTTAAAGCAATTCTGACAAGCTCAATAGTTTTATTTTTAACTTTTACAAAAGGAAACTAATGATACTGTAATTTCAAAATATATCTTCAATCCTTTATCAGTAGTCAGTTCCAAAACTTTATCCTAAAAGTTATAAAGTATCTTTTTATGGGAAAATATGGATTTTAGATCTATGAATTTCCTCTGTATATATCTTCTTTTTTTTTTTTTTTTTTT